CGATCATCGGCGGCACGACCACGTAGGGCACGGTCTCGGCGTCCACGTAGGCGGCGGGGTCGTCTGCGGCGCGGTCGGGGTACCGGTACCAGGTGGTGGAGGCGATGATGCCGCCGCGGAACACGCGGGGCTGGTTGTCCGGCCCCAGCAACACGATGTCCCGCGCCCAGGGCTCGGCGCAGACGACGCGGCCGTCCGCCTCGATGCGCATGCCGCCGTTGGCCAGGGCCTCGCTGCCGCTGTCGTCCACCCGATAGGCCGCTGCGCCGCCGTTCTGGCCGTTCGCACCGTCGGCGTCGATGTCGGCATCGGCGGTGAAGTGCACGCGGCCGTCGCTGTCCTCGGAGATCGTGCAGGTGAAGCCCTCGCCGTCGATGCCGCCGAGCGTGCGCGTGGTGAGGGCCACGCCGCCAGCCGCGCCCGGCGTGATCGCTTCCAGGTGCTGCCAGACGGCCTGCATGCCCTGGCTGTTGATGAGGTCGCGGGCGGCGTCGGACGGGCTGGGCGGGCAGCGGCTCCACTGGAAGTGCGGGAGGTCGGCCATGCGCCAGTCGCCGCCCCAGGTGCAGCCGTACTTCTTGAAGATGTCGGCCACCTTGTGGAACCATGCGTCGCCTTCCGGCGGTGACCAGAACTTGCGGGCATGCACGACGTCCACCGCCAGGCCGAAGCCATGCCAGCTGTGCAGGTTGGTGGGCGCATTGGTCACCGGCTTGAAGGGCGGCTTCACCGTGCGACCGCGCTGGTAGTACATGGCGGCCAGTGCCTGCGAACGGTAGCCCTCGTAGACCATCGCCTCCAGGCAATTGTGCTCGTCGTTGCACTCCGCGAGGGCTGCCTGCACCGCGGCGCGGAACGCTGGCGCGAGGCGACCGAAATCGCGGTTGACCATCAGGTCGGTGTCGTTGGAACCGGCGCTCACAGCGGAATCTCCCGGGGGTTGGTGACGCCGTCACGCCAGGCGTGGGGCACGAAGGCGCCGGTGGCAGGGGGTGCCGGCACGCTGGCCGGTGGCGGCGGTGCATCGGTGGACGGTGGCGGTGAGGCGGCCACGAGCGCCAGCGCGGCGGGGGCGGCGGCGTCCTTCGTCGGGTCGGGGCGGTCCTCGCTGCCTTCCTCGCGGCTCTTCTCGCGCGGCTTCACGGTGGAGCGGATCACCATGAACTTGTTCAACAGGTCGAACCAGAACGGCGCACCCAGCATGACCGCGAAGGCCGTGACCAGCCAGCCGAGCACGACGCGCACGGGCGCGTAGTGCGAAGGCTCGCAGGCCGCGGCGGCGTCGAGCTGGCACAGCTGTACCGGCACCAGGCCCCGGAACCAGGCTGCAGCGGGTGAGTTGTCGGCCCCCGCCTTGCGCCAGCCCATCGGCATGCCGACGTTCGCCAGCTCCTCGCGGGCCCGCTTGGCGGCAGCGAGACCGCTGGCCGGAGTGTCGGGCGCCGCGGGCGCTGAAGCGGCGGCCTGCTGTGCCGCGGCCGCGACGACGGTCTCGCGCAGCGTCTTGTCGGCCGTGAGCCGCCCCATCACGTAGACGGCATCCACGTTCAGCACCATCGCAGCGCCGACGCCCAGCACGAACAGCACCGTCTGTGTTCGCCGCTTGTACCAGCCCGAAGCGCGGTCCATGGCGCCGTCGAACCAGTTCTGCAGGTTGGTGGTGAGCTGCTTGAGATCGCCCTCGCAATGGTCGATGGCGGTCAGCAGCGTGCGGCGCAGGAAGGGCGACTGCAACGCGGCCGCGCGCTCGCGCAGCTCGGCGATCGTGATCGGGCCGTGCGGAGCGTTCTCCGCATCGACGTCCGCCGGGCCGCGCGCGATGAGGTCGATCAGCGCGGTCGCGAAGTGCCCGGCGGGGATGTAGGAGGGCAGGTTGCGCCGCCGTGTCCAGCGCATCTGGCGAGCCTGCGACACGCCGGGTATCCAGCTCGTGAGCGAGTTTTCCGCCAGATGGGCCGGGTCGTACGCGCCCTGATAGAGCGAGGACACCATCGGGTGGGCATAGACCTGGGCGGTCAGCTTGCCGCCCTCGTCGTCCAGCAGCGTGCGCAGGCCGCGCTCGAGGTCCATCGCCCGCCACTTGAAGATGCCTTCGATCCACTCCTTGATGCCCGTGCAGATCAGCGACATCAGCAGGAAGAGGAAGACCATGCCGATGGCGACTTCCAGCGTTTCGGAATTGAACATGGGGTGCACTCCTGTGAGCCGGGTGCATTGGGCGATGCCGGTGGCCGGCCGTCATCCCAACTATTGGTGATGGGCTGCTTGTGCAGATGCAAAGCCGGACCGGCGAGCGGCGCGGTACATTGCCGGCCGCATCCACCGGGCGCCGCGGCGCGGCCAGACCACCATGAGCCATCCCCAAGAGATTTCCGCCCAGTTCACGGCCGCGCGCGCCGCAGGCCACTCGCTGCCCGCCTACCCCGGCACGCCGCCGGCC